TTTCCCTACCCAGCATCATCTTCATCCTCTTTTGTTCTACACCTTCTCCTTTTCTCCTATCTCGTAACACTACAACTTCTTTTCACTACATCTCCATCCTCCTCATCTCCATCTTCACTATTTCTCCTAGAAGGGGGATATGCAGGAATGTGTATATACTTATATGTGAATATTTATGAGAGACACAGAATGGTTTGTGTACGAGAAAAAACTGTACAGTAATGTAACAGGGGAATCAATTTTACAAATGGATTGCCTTATTTTACAGGCAATATTAATCAGTGGTTATTAATTCAAGTAATATCGATTCATTTTTTGGTTCTCCCACAGTTATTTTTTCCAATGTAATCTCTGGCCAGCATCCATATAGTCATATATTCATACATACACACACACACACACAACACACACACTGGTTTCAGCTGGAGTCTGGAATCTTTAGCTGGCAAAATAGGGAAGTTGGGCAATTTACAGAATTTCTTGAATACTAGCTTAAATTTTGGATTGTCTTCTTTTCAAGTTAATACAGCATTTAGAACTAATTTTATTTTCCCTTCTCACCTAGTTTGGACAATGCTCACAATTTCTTTCACTTTAAAAAGGCAACTTGGGGAAAGGTGATTTGGTTCATAGACCTGGTAACTATTACAAATGATTATCTCCTTAAGTTGCCAGGGTTGCGGGGCAGAGAAAAAAGGATGACTTTTAGTTTCCCTAATGTATCAGTTACATTAGAGAAGATATGACTAACAGAATTGCTGGAAAGAGGTTAGACACATAGCTTTCCCTTCTTCATAGCTCCAAAGCAACTATTCCCACATCCTGAAGAAATGGGAAGCTTTGACCATCTATATGTCACATACTTGTCTATCTATTACTGTTTAAATTCCAGTTTTTTCTCTTTGTGAGTATTTAATCCAATTAGGCCAGAAAAATTTAAAAAGAGATCTTGGCTATAAGAACGTTTTAATAATCTAGTGGCCAAGCCAAAAAGCTAAAGCCAAACAATTTTGCAATGCCCAACATACAGTGGAATGTAGAAGTCTGATAATATTAGAACCTAACTTAGTCAAAACCTTATATAACAATTTCTTAAAACTGCAAGCAAGGATTATTAAATATTGTTAAGAATATCATTGCTGTTACATGTAAAAGGAATTGGATATTTATTTGCTGATACCTTACTTTTAAAAGAGAATTATGTAAACATCAGCATATATAAGATCTGGTGTTTTTAAGTTGAGAACTTGCTATAAAACAGTTTTAAAACTTCAAGTACCATCCTCATGTTGAGGGAGATTTTAAAATAGAGCATATTGGAACCTGACTATTGCAAGTAACAGAACAGCAGAGACAATTTTCATTTTACACAATTAACACCATTTTTGATTTCTAGAGTTCAGATATTCCTAGATTTTTCTTAATACAGGTAGTCCATCAGCAACTGCCTCATACAGCAACCTTTCACAATTGCGACAGTGATGAAAAAGTAACTTTACAACCAATCCTCACATTTATGAACTTTGCAGGTCTGTAAAACAAAGGAAAGCTGAAGTAAGATCATAAGCCGTCACAGTTTCACTTAGTGACTGCTTCACTTAACGACCTAGTTGCTGGTCCCAATTGCTAAACAAGGACTACCTGTACCTTTATATTTGGGGACAGATCACCAGTTTTAGAAGTAGCCGTCTATTAATACATATTGTATTCTGTCTATTAATACCGTTTTTTAAAGAGTTAAACCTTAGTTTATCAAAATTCCAGATTCGAGTCATAGGACTCAAGAATTTTGTTTTAATTTAGGATGTTGCCTTCCAGTGATGTTACTGTATTTAGCACATTAAAAAAAAAAAAATCATAACTGCAAAAGTGAAGAGATGTTTCAGTTTGCTGTCTTATCAAGACCAGTGCAAGACTTACTTGGACTACTCCACTAGGATTGACAGTAATCATGGTACAAATCCCACGGAACGCTGAATCTTTTTCCTCATTGTCCCTTATGTTTCGCAGAGAGGTGCACCTAATATAATAAAGAACCAAGTTTTAGTTTTGTTTTTGTTTTTAATTTTAATAGTATTTGATGGAATAAGTGTCACAGCAAAAAGACCTTAAAGACTAAACAACATAAATGCCATTAATCTTACATACTTTCTACATTACTTTCGTGTATATTAAGCCCTATTGAAATCCCCAAGGTTTGCAATATTAAATCAGCTACTTTCCTGAATTGCACAGCTGATATTGAATGTGACCTGTATTCCATTAAATACTTGTATTAATATAAATACATATATTTATAGGAGTGTCCATCACTAAAAGCAGTATATACTGCAACAATATAAAGTTTATGATGTACCAATAATATAACATCTTTAACTTGTTACAGCAGCAAGCAAGCAATTTGGTACAAATCTAGAAACATGTATCTCAAACAGCAAGTCAAACTGCAAATGATTTGAAGTAATGTAATGCGGTGTTTAATGTTTTATGCTATTTGCATGCATATTATCATTCTGGTGGATTTTAAATGCTTTTAATAATCAAGCTTTGACACATCAAGCATGTGACAATCTTATCCCATGCATCAATTAGTTGTTAGCCACAACATGAAATATATACACAACAGTACTGCTAAAAAACCTCACAAACCTGATAGGACAAGATTAGTCACATGGTTGGCAATGATTAAGAATAGTGATATTTGTAACCAACTGAAAAGTATATCTAGAAGTGAGAATAGAGGAAAGAAAGGAAGAAAGAAAGAAGAAAGTGAAGAAAAATGAATAAAAAAAAGATTGAATAATACACACCAGGGTCTTATAAACTGCTGTAGCATGGGGGCCACCTCTTGAGGACAAACGTAACCAAGACGACCAATTGTTATTGCTAAGGTAACGCAATCACGGTTATACACCACCAAACGCCAACCAAGACATGAGCAAATGAGGGGGGAAGGAGAAAAATAAAGAAAAAACAACAAATAACTCAGAAACAGAAACCAACAGAACCTGTGTATGATAATAAACATAAGATTTCACCAGTGCTGTTCATTACCACCCCAAAAAATAAGGGGCAGCAACATGTGGCATACTATTTGGCGGAGGGCAGGGAAATAAAGGAAAAAGGAATTAAGTGAATGAGAGAACACCAAAATTATGCTTAAAATCAAAAGATTAATTTAGCTCAATATGTTAATATTGTTTAATCTGTGACAAATATTTCTATTCAGGGCATTTCAAACATGTCTATTAATTAACCTTTCTGTGTAATATTTCAAATTAAAATGTAAAAGGATATTCATTTTAAAATCCAAATAGACAGAATTAGATCAGAGGTGATTAAAGTCATTTCATAACGCTAATTTTTTATTATTTAAAACTAAATTTAATAGGAAAGAGGACAATATACATATAGCTTCTCACAGTAAGATCTGTGTTTTATTAGGTATTATTACATCATTTATCACTGTTAAGTGTTTCAAAGCTAAAGATCTGACAAAATATAAAAATAATCTGCTCTGCTTGAACACATTCATGTCTTTAGTATGAAAATTTACCTTAATAGTGGCCATAAACCTGTATTAATGGTGTTCTTTCAGCTCACTGAGCAATTCTTCAGAAAAGGGAAAGTGTGGGTATGTTTAAGGATTATTTGAAGCAAACTACATGAATACTAAAATCCAGCAGATTTGTATGAAGCAGAGAAGCCTATGCTTAAAAGACATTATGCAACACTCCAAAACAGGCATTTGTGTGAACAGATCTCATGAACACATGCAGTAAAGCTGATGATGCTTTTTTTCACTGTGAGGTTTGGTGTAGGATATACCAACACTATAAAAGACAAATTCTCCTGTAAGACTATGTGGCTAAAATTATATATTCAGCTTTGTTTATTTTTAAATCACGCTGTTCATGAAACTTCGGTATTAATAATCAAATTGCTTTTTTTCTTAAAAAAAAAAAACAAATTGGATAAACTTCTTTACAGTAACATTGCTCAAAATTTATATACTGGCTGAGAAGAAGTGTATTTCACGTATCTTATGTTTAGCAGGTATTTTTACTTTATGTAATACTATATTGTGCCAGGATAACTAAATCTATGAATTTTGTATTTTGATTTCAGGTATTATATTCTTCTAGCAGAATATCCCACAACAAATCTAATGTGCAACACATTCAACATTTATTTATAGTATATAGTATGTCTGGGGTATCCATTTTAGAAAATTTAAGTGTAATTTTCAGGAAACTGATTTCCTTTAACTTCTGCATTTTATTAAAAGAAACCCAGTGCACCAATGATGGTTTTAAAAGGGTACAGTTTTCATTTCTTGTAATGGTTTGGGAGATTTCTTTCATTCAAAAGGATTGTTCCAAAAGATAAAATTATTAGCAAACTCTGAATAGTGCAATGCTTGTAAGATGCCAAATCACAGGTATAATTCATTTTCATTACAGAAGTAAATGTACTGCTACACTGCATTTTTCCATTATACATTTTAACAAACATACGTAGAATGAAACAACCCACATCCTTAAAAGTCAGCAAAAAAGACCAATCAATGTCTAAACTCTGATAACCATTCATTTCTATGACTATGACTTTAAATGTACATTTATAGTCTTGCTATCAGACTACAGTGCAGACATAGATAGCTAGAAAGATAACCAGAATTTTTTAGAGCACTGGAGAATTTATTAAAAGCATGTTCTACAAGTATAGGACAAGGCTCAGTTCCATTTTAGAGCCTCCTTCAATTCTAATGCCACAACATACGTCAACCAAATAGCGTATGTTTGCACAATGTATAATGTCCAGCCACTCAGAAATATTTGGTTTCATCCTGTTGTCCATTATAATTATGAAGCCTCCAAAGTAAGCTACATGCAAAGAAGTGACAATTTGTCTCATATGAAAAGAAGTCAACTGGATTACTTTAAGTATAAGTATAACCAGATTTTAGTAATATAGCTAAAATTTCTGAGATCTCATGTACTGTTTCAAAACAACCCTACTGGAAGGGAGATTTTGGGGCGACTTCATCCAAAGTATTGACAGTTTCATGCCAGCAAGACAAGGAAAAACAAATTTGCTCTTTCTTAACGCAAAACAAATACCTTCCTGTTAGTCTCAATTGTAGGGAATTCATTACCTTGGCTCCAAGTTTGCCCCAAACTTACTACTCATTTGGGAGCGCTCTTGAAAACTTGTTCATTAATGGGTGATCCCTCCCCACCAACACATCTCTAGAACATCTCATTTGCTCAATGATAGAATCCCAACATCAGAGAAGCAAAAGTCACTTAATTAATCTGGGAGGACTTGTTTATTAAACAAAATGGATTGAAAAAACATCTAAAGCTCCTCTTGTTTTTAACACTAATGGAATTTCCCTACAATCTTTAATAATACGTTTTAAAAGAGCTATCTACATAACTTTAGTCACTGCAAACAGTTCATTTGTAGGGTACCTGTGTTTTCTAACAAAGTCTTTGGTGTGTTGGGTCTGTTAATGATTTCTACAAGCTGGTGCAAGACCATAGGGATATAAGGCTGCATCTCTATACCTAGAAAAAACAACACGCAAAGAATTTGTTAAAAATCGCTTTTCATTATGGGCACATTAACATAGCTGACAGAATTTATAACTGGCTACAAGACCAAAAAACAATCTACACAATTGAAAATTCAAGCTAGCATTAAAAAAACAAGCCAATCTCACCCATCTGAATAGAAATTTCTCCAATTGCCCATGTGGCATTGTTACACACAGAAATGAACTCTGGGTTTAGGTTGGTTCCCAAAATTGGCATGAAATCAGCTGAAAAGAACATAAATAAGCCTTGTCATTAAGATTCTTCCTCTGCTAGAACATAACACTTCAGCATAATATAGTTTTAGCAGAAAGCTCTCTTGAGCAGTTGGCATTTCCCATCCCCCATATTTATAAAGCCACCCCTCCCAACAAAAAAGTTCAGAATCAAAACTGGAAAGTCCATTTACAGACATAACTGAATATATTAAAATTAATCTCCCTTCCAGATAAGGGGCTTTTTTTACAAATCTAAGGGACACGTGGATATATTTGTCACAGGAAACTGTTTTTTAACATATGCAACAGCAGTTTCTGAAGTGAAGGAAGCATAGTATTTATTAGGCTCTAGCCAGAAGCATGGTAGTAGATGAAAATTCTAAATCTAATCAAAACAGGTATTCAGGAGCCACCAAGTAGCAATCCAATAGGAAAAATAAGTTTATGCAAATGAGAGAAAAGGGTGAAAATTGAGATTTAAATATTAGTCACTATTAATAGCAATAGGGTATTTTCTTTAAAAATTGAGTGGGAGGAAAAGGGAACACAGGGCTTACAATGAAGAGTCATTTTCTAAAATGGACAGAAGATATCTTGGAAACTGGGTTGCTCCTCCCACTTGCTCCAATAGGCAGGGCTAACAAAATTTTGTAACAATACCTAGAGTGACAGAAAAAAATGTTTCTCTGTTGGATAGGCAAAAAGGCTGGGTAGAGACATATTGGAAAACGATATAGATATAAAGAAAACCAGTCAGAAACAAGTCTGCTAGTGACTGGATCCACTGTGGCAAAAACCAGACTGATCATGTGGTTATTAAGGATTCCTGAGGCTGCAAGAAGGGAGAACCAACACTCAGAATGATCACGCCAGCTGGAACTCCTGCCATCAGCTGGGCTTGCTTGTTGCTTGCTATATGCCACTTCAGTCACAACTGACTGTTTTCTCTTTCCATTTAAAAAACATAAAATACAAAAAAAAAAAAAGGCGAAGCTCCTCAAAGTCCTTGTGACAAGGTGAGCTGTCTGATTATGACAGTATGGTAATTTGTCTCAAGCTGGAGTTTAAAAGCACCTTTAAAAGCAAGATTTCTACGAGGGGATTGTCAGGCAAATTGTCAGGAGATTTTAGTTTCTGCTGTGTGATTCTGTGTCAATTGGAGGTGTTGTGCATGTATCAAGAAGCAAGGTGGTTGCAGTCACCGAAGGAAAGAAGAGAGGATCACCAGAAAAGGAGGGATGTGGAACTGATGACCCAGCTGATGTATGTAGAATCAGGAAGGAAGAACTGCAGAGCAGACTAACTGGTAAAAAATTGAGCAACAGAGAAAAGAAGCTATGACAGAACAGAGAAGAGTGACTAAGTGTGGCTTTCCAAGAAGGCTCAGCAAAGAGTGATTTTTCTCTTCTCCCCACTCCTCCTTTTTAATTTAGAAAAAGCTAGAAGCAGGAAAGAAAAATTAAAGCAAAGCTGTTTAGAGAAGGAGTTAACATAACAAAGCTCAGTGATTAGGTCTCAAAACTGTGTGGATAAAGGAGAGACCAATTGAAACAGTTAAGTAATTACTGTACAAGAAAGCATTATAAAATAAATAAACAAGATTGTATGTTGTTCCTTAATTAAGATATGCACACCCATCAAAGAGATAAGGCTACTGGAAATACAAGTACAAATTATTTACTTTGATTATCGCAATAAACATCACTCTTGATGAGAGAAGAAGTACACTGTGTGTATGCTTGGATTAATTCCTATTCCTTTCTTATTCCTCAACAGTCCTGAGCACTGGAGCCTGGCAGAAACTAAACTGGAAGGAGGAGTTGGGTTCTATCTCACTTAGCAACTGTTACCATCTCTTACTAATACCTACTAGAACAAGTGAAAGGAGCAACTCAGCTTTTAGGATGCCTTCCTCCACTGAAAGAAAAATTTAATAGTTCGTTATTCTCACCTAAATAAGATGAAGTTTTGAATTAAACTATCTGACATGTGATCATTCAAATAGCCCATCCTTCACTCTTTTATTGCCAAGAAAAAAATAATTAAGTGCCAGCAAAATAGTACATCTATCTCTACCAGAAATCTCCTTGAACACACAACCCATATACAATTGGAAGAGAAAGCTGGTGAACCCCTAAAAACTATTTGTAATCTTGCTTGTAATCAGTACTGTGACCTGCACTGTGATCAGAGCTTCATCCAAGTCCTATAAGAGATTCTGATTAACAAAAAATCATCCAAAATAATGGACCATGTCATCATGTCTTTCTTGAACACACTGAGCTAACATTCATTGTTTGTATGGAAAAAAATATGTGAAGCCCTAGGGTAATCAGCTTAAGGGAGTAAGTTGGGTTGTATATACAAATCAATCGGATAACAATCAGGGATAAGTCTGAGTAGGCCTCCCCATTAAAACACACACATACTGAATACCGCTACTGGAATCTGCTCCTCACAACACACATTTCTGGAAGTGAATTTGGTCCTGATCAAGAGAGATCTCTGTGGTGTACAAAATGTACAATACAGGTAGCCCCAGGTTAAGAATGCTCGGTTTGAGGACGACCAATAGTTAAGAACTATTGTAGCAAAATTCGAGTTAAACACACAATGATTTGAGTTAATTACACAGTGCTACTTATACAGTATTACACAATAACAAGATTCCAGTTTACATACACATTCGACTTAAGGACAGACTTTGGGAATGGAACCCGTTCTTAAACTGGGAACTACCTGTACTATGGGAGATTCCCCCCAAATCCTAGGATTATAGCAAAGAATCAGCAGGCCTATTTTATATTGCCAGATGTCATGTCTGATGTCAACTGTTCATAATTCTAGGGAAATACTGAATAAGAGTTGTGTGACTGGGAGGATATCTGGGAGAAAAGACTGTTCTCCAGAAAACTCACTATCATGTATCTTAACTTAGCCAAATTCCACCTGGATGTTCTAGCAGGCTACTAGAACAATATTCTATGGATAGATGAGATCAAAGTGGAATTTGCGGACACGAATAGAGAAATTATATGTTTGGAGAAATGAAACACAGTGTTCCACTGAAAAGGTCTCATCCCAATCACATAATACTGTGGTGGGAATGTCATGGTTTGGGGCTGCTTTGCAGCCTCAGGATCCAAATGGCTCACAAACACTGAAAGAACAATGGATTCTGGATTGTTCTTTCAATAAATTCTATAAGAGAATGTCAGGATATCGGTCTATGAGCTGAAGCTTAAATGAATGGGAGTCACACAATACAACAGTGATTCTAAATACAAAAGTAAATCTACAACAGAATATCAGAAGCAGAAGAAATATCACATTTTGGAATAGCCAAATAAATGCCCTACCCATATCCCAATTACAATGTTGCAGCACATTCAAAAGCAAGCAGTTCATGCAAGGCTGGCTTTAAGCTAAGGCTGGGCAGGCACTGGCTTAGGGCATAAAAGCTTAGAGCACCTACACTGCTCCTCCTTCTGAATCATTATAAAAATGCAGATGTTCACACTGGCAGGGGTGGCGCCATCAATGTGGCCTAGAGACACCATATATACTTGAATCAGCACTGAGTTCTTGCAAAACAACCTAAAACTGCAATGAGCTGAAGTAGTTCTGTAAAAAAGAATGGACCAAACTACCACCAGGCCAATGTGTGAAATTGCTCAACAGGTACATACAGAAAACATTTGGCTGAAGTCACTGCTGCTAAAGGAGGTGACTCCAGTTACTAAATTTAAAGCTTCACAAACTCCAACAAAGACAGTGAGTATTACATGTTCAATAAACACATGATGCAGTAAATTTTGTGTGTTGTTTGCTTGATCAGAATTTCTTTATTTATTAACAGGACCCAGATGAAACTCAGATCACATTGTAAGTCACAGTGCTGCAGGATAATGGATAGTTCATAAACATTACTATATGGATTAGAGGACAGGAAAGCTCTACAGAGTTGAAGAAAATACCTTTCAGCATTAAACTAGATTTATTTAAACCAAGGAAGAAAGAAGGCTGTGTGAAGAAAACAAACAGGAGCCAAGCACCTGTTTCCCATCATTCTGGATAAGAAATTATTCATTCAAATAATCCACAAAATATTTCTCCCCACCATGGCAAGTTGGTAATAAAAACATTTTAGATAAACAAGTGCAAATATATGCATACATATATTTATGGCAATTTTCCATTACTCCAGCAATCACTATCATCTTACAGTATAAACAATATACAATACCAAATTAAAAAACGCAATGACTATGAATGGCAGTTCAGCCTATGCATGATAACAGCTTGCAGTATTAAGTTACCTACCAATGCAGGGTTTCACATGTTGAAAACATGCCTTTGTCAAATCCCCTAGCAAAGCAAAAGAACTCTGTCGTACCTCAGGCATTTTATCCTAGGAGAAAAAGAAAGAAGTGAGTTTTTGTTTTTATTTAGAAAATAAAACAGCCCTGAGGCAAGAGATTATTTGTCTCACCTGCATACACTGGTACATCAGTGTCAGGATATTGCTCCGAGCCACTAGTTGTTCAATGTTGCCCCCAAGTCCTTCAGCTAAACCACTAAGTAAATCAAGAGCCACAATCATGAAGTCTTTATCTGGTGCTTCATACTGGTCTGGTTGAGCATTATGCAACTAACAAAAGACACAATCAAACAATGTTTAAAAGATTTAAGTGTGCAACTCCAGTGTATAATTTTTGCTGCTTCTATTCCTCAAACCAACAAAATGGTCAAAGAATATTATAATCAAGCATGGAGTTTAAATTCCATTGAAGTTACATCTTCTAATGCTATGAAAACTGGTAAAAGAAAAATACCATGGCTTGTGCAAGAGTCTTCTGTACCAGGTTCACACAGCGCTGGTAGACAGGTTCACAGTATGGAAGGAAGCCAGATTGCAAGGCAGTGGCAACCGAAGACAGGCACTGAAACACAGAACACACAATGAGGAACATGTGTGCCATCACACCATAAGTCAAAGAATATATTTGCTACATTAATTCTGTTTAAAAGGGTAAGTTTTGAAGGATAAAATAAATACATGTATTCACAGATGAAGAAACTTCACAACAGTGCAGGGACATAATCCTAATGCTGCATTTGCACAAACAAGATCAGGAACCAGGAACTCCCACTGGTTCTTTGCAGTCTAATCCTACAACTCCTTCAGAAATACATTCTTTCAAGTTGACTTGGAGGCTACTTTGTAGAAAATCCACAGAACTGCTACATTACGATGCAATCATATCAGGTCTTGTCAAAAGGTCTTCATGAAACTAATGGGGTTTAGTCCTAATTATATGGATGCAAAATTAGGATGCCTCAATTCCCCTGTTAAAAGCTGTCATCATAAGGGGAAGAAAATTTATAAAGTGACAGATACATCAAAGAACTAACAACAGCACCAATTACCTCTAATAAAGGGAAAAGATCTTTATCTTCATCCTTTAACATGTTCCATTTTTGGATTAATGGAGGCATAAGCATCTGAATGTATTCCTGTAGACAGTGAAAATTTCACAGAAATTAGGCTCTATACAACTTTATCAGTTTTTTAGTACTTACAGAGATTCCTTTGAATTGAGGATATTGTTTGCTAATGCTTTCCCCAGACTTTTTCTTTATTGCAGACAAAAACAAAGCCTTATTGACAACACTTGAGTCCCCCCCCCAACAATATTCTTAGCAATTTAGACTCTAGCATTCTTCTCCCACACTTCCAAATTAATAGATATTTGACAGTCACTTGTTGGCCCTGGGCAGGAAAGATATGTTTACAATATGGCTCTATCTAATCTAGGGATTGCTGGTTCCTGCCTTGCCAGCCTTGTTCCTTGTATTTATTACAAAGCAATAGAGATACTATCAGTGAAGCATTTGAGGACTTATCAGGAAAACAGCTAGGCATGGTTTTAAAGCTTTAGTACACAGTATTTTATTTATGAAGTCTGAAGTCAGATTTTATAATGTTTCTTAAGCGTCTAACACAAAGCAGGCAAAATTTGGACTATACATAAGTCCAGTAATGTAGTAAATAACTTGGGCAAGAAATCTCCAAAAATACTTGTCTAGTATAAATGCTCGATGAAGAAATGAATAAGAAGTCAAATTTTTATCTGGAATTAAGAGATACAATACTTACTGGTTTGTTTAGATGATGGCCTACAGAATCTGCTAAAGTTCCTATGGCATCATAAAGAATGAGCAGATTCTTATGCTGGTATTTACTAAATGCAAATACCAAAGTATCAAGTATATAAGCAAGATAAGGAACAAGCTCTGTACAAGCCTCCTCTTCTAGAGTAGCAAAGGCACTAAGAGGCAAAAGAAAACATTAGTCTACAGAATGAAGGAATGCACTTCTTCCTCTTAGATAAAATAACAAATCCTGTACAAAATCTATTAACCGTCTATATGGAATCAAAAGTTCCAATGGATGTGGGAAATTATTAGATTTCTTTTAAATAAATTCTTACTATAACAGCTACAATAGAACTTATTTATCTAATACATAATCCTGCTATAAGCTTAACAAAGAAGAAAAAGGTCCAAAGCAAAATTATAATTTCATTAGAAAAAAAAATACAATGCAGCCCTTTATAGCAAATATAATTACAGCAGAATGGCTAAAAATGGCCTCAGAAGGAAGCTTATTCAACTAGAAAGGAGCTAAACAAAAATAAAATAATGCTGTAGACTTCAGTATGTACCCTGAGAACCATGGCCAGCATTTCTATACTCTGACCTACCTGCAGGCAGCTTCTTGTACTCTCTTGTTACTATCAAGGATACGCTTTAGCAACTCAGTCATTAATGGCTTCAAGTATGTGTCGGGGGGTTGACTGACTACCCAATGTGCATAGCGACTAAGAGTCCAGCAAGTAATGGAGCGCACAAGAGCCTTTTTATCAGAGAGGCACTGAATAAGGTGAGGGATTAGCTCGGGAAGATATGGAATCATACCCTGCATACAACCTGTAAGAATAAGAAATGCTTACTTTAACAATTTGACAACCATATAGTGCTGCTGCTACTACAAATAATAATATTAATCACAAATTTATGTCAACATGTGAGACTGGCATTAATAAATGTAAGAAAGTGTGGAAACTAGGCAGGGGAGTTCAGTGGTTGTGAAAAGAGGTAGCACAGCCCAGAGGCAGGGGCTGTGGGAAGGAAACATTTCAAAAAGACTCATCCTTAATTGCTATAAAATCTACCTGCTATAAATCTACCTGCTATAAAATCTACCTTTCACAGTTTTCATGCTTAAGTTGAAACAAGATTAAAGAACCCTTTCTGAAATTTGTTATTCTCATGTTTTGAGTTTGCCAGCTGCATGGGGCTTGACAATAATATATTTTAAGTAGGGCATAACTATGGAAACCAAAAGCAAGTTTTCAAATTTTTGGGGAAAACATAAATACAGGTAGTCCTTGACTTACGACCACAATAGGGACTGGAAAATTTGTTGTTAAGTGGGGTGATCATTAAGCGAGGCATCACGTGACTGCACCCAATTTTATGACATTTTTGCAGCAGTCGTTAAGCAAATCGCCATGGTTGTTAAGTGAATCATATGGTTATTAAGCGAATCACACAGTAGTTAAGTGAATCATACTGTTTCCCATTGATTTTGCCTGTCGGAAGCCGGCTGGGAAGGTCACAAATGGTGATCACGTGACACCGGGACCTTGCAACAGTTGTAAATACATGCCGGTTGCCAACCACCTAAATTTTGATCATATGATCGCATGGACACTGCAACAGTCATAAATGCAAGAACTGGTTGTAAGTCAATTTTTCAGCGCCACTGTAACTTCGAATTACACACAATTATATTTATTAATATATTCAACAAAGGATCAAGATACCACAAAATAATCTAGTCAAAAACAACTCTGATGTGGAATTAGAAAAAGCCAAAATTGCTTCCGCTATTTTTTTTTTTTTTTCCAGCTTCTAGACTTTAGAATGCAGGCAATATTTAGAGAAGTGAGAGCTATCCCCTCCTGCTAGATTAAAGTAACCAGGGGAGGACTCGCCCTTTGCCCAAGGCAGGTAACTAATACTTTTTTTCTTACAAAAAGGAGCCAGGGAGAACCCCATTATTAAAGACCCTTTCCTTGGCCAGGAAGAGCTGGGAGTAAGCACAGTCTGGAGGGGAACTGAGTATTTATTTCCGAATCAGAGAGTTTTGCACATTCCTAGGAGGAAGAGATAAGGGACAGGATACCAGTACCAATGAGGAAAATGCCAAAAGCAAGTGAAACATCCCTTTTTTCTCTCCCCATAATTCATTCTCTTTTCTTACCCTTATATATCAATTTGCACATGTAGTCACATCTACACACATATGCATGTACCAGTTCATCCATCATCACAGAAAACCTGCCTCCTTCTTTTTTGTGCTCTTTAACTGGCAGCTCAAACGCAAACAGCCAAACTGCAGAGAAGAGCTACATTGTTCTTGGTTGGTTGTCCATCTCCAACACTTACAGTCTTCACTAGGGTATTTGGGGGGGCATGGGGGCATGCGCACAGGGTAGCTTAAGTTAAAATAGAAATTCCATATACCTAAGAAGCTCTATATCTGTACAAACTGATACTTTAGAATTTGTCTATTTAACTTCCATCCACCCACAATGACTTTTAAAAATTTCCTTCCAGGTAGCTTTAGGATTATTTCTCTAGTATCTTACTAAAGTGTAATTAAAACACATATAATCGAAGCCAACACATCACTGATTCTTCTTGCTCATATTCCTTGCAGCAGGGATGTGTTCTGTGTGAAGCACTATGTTTAGATTTAACATAGTTCTTTTTCTCACTATGAATATTAACAGAAGTACAACTTGAACCTCAAACATTCATTTACCTTCAGCAATTGCTCCTAGAACAAGGATGCCTGATTCTTTCACCACCCATTCAGGATGAAAAAGCAATTCTTTTAGAAGGGGCAAAATATGTGGTAGCAGCTCATCACGGAATACATTGGCAAGGACATCAAGGGCAGCAGCTGAACATTTCCCTAAAGAAAGAAACATATTCATTTTTGCATGATCTATATATTTTCAAAACCTTCCCTCACTTCATCCTGCAATATTAGTATGCTATTTGTTGAAAATTATGAAGAAATTATAAAAAAGAATAAAATGCAAAGGACTTAAAATTAACCTATCATACTAAACATTGTAGGAGGAGAGATGAATTAGTCTATAGTGGTAAAAAATCAGATGCAGTTTGGTAGCCCATTTTTGGATTACCAAATTTTATTAAAAGGCAAGAAAAAAGCCACAAAAACATATGCCTTTTAAATATGATAGTTGGAAAAGGTGCTATCAGACTTCTCCTGATTTTTTGCTAAGAGAGCTTGAATCCTTGTAACTAACTCTAAGTATCTATCTATCTATCTATCTATCTATCTATCTATCTATCTATCTATCTATCTATCTATCTATCTATCAGATTTATACAGCTGCCCATCTCACTAACATGACTCTGGGCAGTGTACAATAAAACCAACAATTAAAACAAACCTTCAGTAACCATTAGAAACAATTAACATAAAATATAAATAAGATCATGCGAGAACGCACCAAAATCTCATATACAATACAACTATCTTGTTAGTAATATCTAACTTCAGAACAATTGCTAAACTAAGCTTAATATGACATAGAGATATACTTATGTTTTACATTATTTCAGTTGGAAAAGTGACATACTTAAATTCCAGTCAGAAATAGTGTCATCATCATCAAGCTCATCTTCTTCCTCCTCCTCTTCTTCAATACCATCTTCTTCATGCTGCTGAGCTACTGTTCGTGAACGGTGAAACCGGGGCCTTATATCTTGTTCACTGTCTGGAATTGCTTCATCTTCTTCAACATCTCCCTATTACCAAAACCAAACAGCAGAATATAAGTAGAGACAGATGTTTCAAGAATACCTTGTCTCTTTTTATGCTATATCAATGCTTTTTTTTTTAACTTTTATATGCTGAGTTAACACACCAAATATATGTTTAAATTTAAAAGAATTAATAAGTAGAAAGTAGCAAACAACTTACAAAAATAAGTTAATGACTAAGAAACCACTAAGAATTATTAATAGTGCAATTCTATGCTTAAAGTTATAGGCAAAAATTTAGGTATCCTGGTCAGATTATATATTTCTATTAATCCCTAAGTGAACCAAAGCTGGCACAACCTCTACATAGTATAGAGTCTTCATATTTTGTATCTGTAAGCAACTGTACATAAAAAATAAGTATGCAATCAAATTTGTATATATTGTGTTTCACTCTGTATCACACAGAAGCTGTCTCAGCTTTGGTTCACTTAGGGATTCACTGAATCATGTATCTTGATCAGAAGTTATTAACTTCTACATATAACAGTACCTCTTCAGAATCAAGTCTCATTGAATATGTAGGACCTTACTTCCAAGAAAGTGGATATACTTCTGTTGCTGGATGTACAGAAACAACAAAACTCTTTTCATGAATATCAGAGGCAAAATATATTATTATTATTATTAGTTATTCCTACCTTCAGCAGAATGATATCTATTTCTGAATATTTCATACCATTTACTAGGACGGGTATCAACCTACAGAGAAAGAACTTAAATTATTGAATATCAATTCCTCAAGTTGAATAAGCAGGAATTCACATTAGTTAATATTTTCAAATGCCATTCAAACCCATGCAAATTACTTAAGAGAAGATACTGATGTAATGTCTCCTCACTTAATGTTCAAAGTTTTGGGCCTGGATTTCAGTGGCATTCTAAATGACATGGATTTATTTTAAATCAAATTAAAATTCGCATAACTTAAAATCATGAACTATAATGTTTAGAATATTTAAAGATGTAAAATATTTCATTGGATGCTATTTCAGGATACTGAAATGTTTCTTTGATTATACATATACATACATATCACAGCCAAATGCAATGGACCATACCTGGTGGGCAACAGCAATGTTGCAGGCCCCATATTTACTTCCAATTGGTTGACAGGTGCAATTCAAAGTGGTAGTTTTAATCTATAAAGCCCTGTAAAGCTTAGCTATTGGTTACCTTCAGGACTATTTCTTTCAAGTGGAATTAATCCATCTAGTATGTTCCTCGTGGGATAAACTAATAAGTCCCTCATTTTAGAGAAGTGAGGGAGAACAAGAGTACACCAACAGTGGTTTTCAGTGATGGCCCCTACTGTTAACCACCAGTAATCACACATTTGATGAATACATTTGATAAATAATAAAAGAAAATTTGACTCCATCACAAATATGCCTGAAGGCTTCTTTCACTGGACAGAAGAATCAATTACAGTGGTACCTCGGGATACGAACGCCTCTAC